GACCAACTGCCACATCCTGGGGGATGTCTGAACCCAAATAACTCACCAGCCGCTGCAGTCTGCTGCATCCTCTGCTCTGTTCCACTGATGGTGTTTCTCTGTGGAGGTTTCTGAGGTCTCCAGTAGTCACAATGTATCTGCATGTTCCAGCCCTGCCCCATGCAGTGAGTTCAGGCTCAGGGAGAAAATGCCTCCTGCCACCTTTTTATTTGAAGTCTCTCTCTTCGCTGTCTCTATGGGCTTCAGTTCTCACTTCAGATCCTTCCTTCTCTTCCTCACGTTGCTATATTGCAGTGTCTGGACACCAAATCTCAGAGGGGATCTTTCTCTGCTGCTCCCCACTTGGCCATCTTCCAAAATTTTCTACTTTGTAACAGGCTTGCTTTCCCTAAATCACCCAGGCTGGGGTTTAACTTGAGATCCTCCTGCCCCAGCCTCCCAGAATATTGAGATTACAGGTATGTGCTACCATGGCCAGTGAACAGTGAGATTTGTACACTCCCACGGCATGTGGCAGGGACTCAGTAGCTACCTGTGGAATGAATGAATGAACGAGGCTCTACTAGGCAGTGACTGAGCCTGACTGGATTGAACTGGATAAGTCAGAGAAACCTGGAGCTTGAGAGGAAGAATAACTTCTGTTAGAAGTTGAAGCTCCATCTTTGTACCCATGTTCCTTGTAGACTCTTGATTAGTGACACATGCCGCCAGTCACATCTGTACACTTGCCCTCTAACAGTCTGATATCTGTCATCCTCTCCCAGGAGACAGCAGTGGGGGTGACACTGGAGAAAGAAGCAGGAGCCATGGCAGCTGCTGGACTATGACAGAGCAGCAGAGGCACACAGAAGGACCACCGGAGGAGAGGGAGAATCTCATATCTGTAAACCTCTTGTTCTGGAACCAGATGAAAAGCACAAGAATCCTGCTCCTTGGGCTGAGCCTGAGCACCTAGAGCTACTCACATTCTCATATGGCCTAAGTCCACACATATCAGCCACCCCCATGTTCCTGGAGTGACTGTGATTCAGAGACTCTTCTCCAGGTATTGGCCCTGGGTCCTTATCAAGTTCCTTGACTTGGAGCTGCATCAGGGATCCTGGACAAGGGAATGCCTCCTCTCACTGCACAGGTCCTTTAGGATGTGGCGGTGCTGCCCAGGTAACTTGGGCCACATTGACTCCTATCCAGGTTGCTCTCCTCCCTGCTTACCGTGGGTTCATCCTCACTCTCAGTGAGGATCATCTCTGTGCCACCTGCCCAGGAGGGGAAACATCAGGGACTGGGCAGAGGTACATCTAATTTAAGAAAGTATGGCTTCATTTACTTCCAGACGCTGTACTACATTTGTCCTGGGAGAGTGGTGGCTCTCCAAAGGCACATCCATGTCCAAGTGTTGGGAAAGTATGATGTTATATGGGCTTCCTGGTCCCACAAATCTGGACTCTGCAGGGTTGCAGGCACTGCTCCTTCAAAGGGGCAGACGATGGATCCCAGGCACTCTGAATGTCCTATGCCACAGATGACTAGGCAAGAAGAGGCTGCCGTCTTATCAGGGATAATGACACTGGCTATTTGGGGAGACCGTGGTCACATGTCTCTTGATCTCTCCTATCAACTGTGAGGCCATGGACCAAGGCAACCACCTGGCCTGGGATATTGCTGTGACCAGAGCAGACCATGACACCAGGTCTCCCAGAGCCCCAGGTGGTAGTGGGGAGCCTAAGCTGGACAGTGGAGGCATCTGACTGGGCTCCTCTGGGTCTCTCTGGTGGCCACACAGGGTTGTTGATTTAGTTTCCTGTGTTTCCCCAGGGAGAGAGACTACTTGTAGCCTCTGTCCCCAGAGAAATAAAGAATATAAAAAAGGGCAGGGAGACCTGTTCATTTTTCTCTATTTCCTCCGATTGGACACTCCCCATTGAGCTGTCCTCCTTTGGGCTGATCTCTCCTTTGCCAAATTTATTCTGCTCTTAAGCCCATCCCATGATTTTAAAACTTCAGCTTTTGTGTTTTCATCTTTTTTCTTTTTGGTTCTGGGGGTTGAACCCAGGTCCTTTGCATTGAGCTATATCCCCAGCCATTTTTATTTTGAGATTGGGTCTTGCCAAGTCAATAAGTTGCCCAAGTTGGGCTTGAACTTGCAGTCCTTCTGCCTCAGCCTCTCAGAGTGCTAGGATTAAAGATATGGTCCCCCACTCCTGTCTTTCATCTTTTTTTTTAGCCCATGGTTTTAAATTATAAGTTGATATTGATTAATTTTTATTAATGGCTATCTTTTATGACTCAATTGTAAGTTTCTGAAAATGACCTGGGCATGGTGGTGCACACCTGTAATCTCAGCACTTAGGAGACTGAGGCAGGAACATCTCTGTGAGTTTGAGGCCAGCCTGGGCTATATTGTGAGTTCAAGGTAAGCCTCAACTATATAGTGAGAGCCTGTCTCAAAAAAAAATTCTTGAAAATGAGCTATTGGTGTTCGTGAACTGAGCCCACTCTGTATGTGGATGTGGGGGGTTGTGATTATTAGCTCCCCATTGGGGATCAACATTCACTACTGTCTTGACATTTTATATTGTGGGGAACCACTAAGACTGCTTGAAAGCTCAGGGGCAGCTAAGGACACATAAGGACATGACCCTGTTTGTCTAGGGCAGGTGCACAATGGGATACAGTTATGTAACCATGACTTAGCACGGGTAAACACTCATGCGTTGGTTATAGCACTATATAAGAATGTAAACATGAGGGGCTGGGGATTTAGCTCAGCGGCAAAGCGCTTGCCTGGCAAGCGCAAGGTCGTGAGTTTGATTCCTGGTACCGGAAGAAAAGACAAAAAA